CTTTTTTTTTAATGGGGCTTTTTGCTACTCTAATATTCCCCCCTCTGAAGAGGTAACCCTAAAATCTTTTAAGGAATAGATTAAAATTCCCAAATACTATTGACCTTTTTGGACTTTGGAACAGAATTTGTTGCTAAGAAGCCCAAGGAAATTTTGACTTTTAGCCAAGAAACTGGCTACTTTTCTTTGGGGTCTTTTTTTACCCTAACTGCCTAGCTAAATCTTACCTCCTTTTCTTATCAGACCATCCTCTGAAGAGGTTACCCAAATTGCCAATAGGGAATAGGGATGCAGATCGCTCTGGCTTCTTCCATGCTGAACAGGGACACATGGTGAGGCAATTGGGGTACCCCTTCAGTGGGTCTATCTAAAAGAGTCCCAAATTCATAACTCTTATCTGTAGGGAGAAAAGAAAGTCCTTGAGTGGTGAATAGGGGATGTGAAGGAGAAGTAAAGGTAAGAGTAGTTAGCATTGCAAGTTCTAGACAAGGAACCAGAAAAAAGTCAGAACAGGGCAAATTTCAAATGTTCATATGAGAGTCCATTGTGATTTCTTGATGAGAGCTTCCAAAAGCATTCCTCCATTGGGTTCCTCCTCATTTTTCTTTTGTCTGCCAAGGCTGGACTCGAACTATGTAGACCAGGCTGGCCTTGAACTCACAGAGATCCACCTGCCTCTGCCTCCCGAGTGCTGGGATTAAAGGCATGCTCCACCACGCCCAGCCAACAATAACTTTTTATCAAAAACTTGACACCCATGATTCTCTGCATCAACTGACATATGCTTTTTTTTTTAATCAAGGCTGAGGACATCGATAGTCCATGGACATAAACATATTTGGGAAGCAGTTTGACAACATGTCTATTTAGCAAAACAGAAGTAGTAGGTTCACCTCTAGAGCCTATGACCTCACCAGCCCAGGTCTGTTGACCTGTTACACAGTGCCAGGCATGAACACTCTCCTGCAGAATGGGCCTCAGATCCAATCAGAAATCAGTTGTTTACCTCATGACATTTGTCCCACTATTGAACCAGTAGGCACATCTTACCTAACAAGTTGGTACTGTAACATGGAAGGTACTAAGCTTTAAAAGACTATTGATAATTATTCTCCCCTAGCTGCCTACATAGCAACTTCTGGCACTGTATAACTTCAGGGAAGAAGCTTCTAGTTCAGCTCCAATATGATTTCTTTATGATCTTCATTCATTCATGACCATAATCTGTACCATGTTAGGGCCCTCTAGGCCTTCCTGGCCAACAACTTTTAAGGAAGTATCCCACACTTGGCATTGGGATTTTCATTTAATCACCTGTTGCTTCTGACCTCAGCATCATCCAACCATGCATGGTGTATACGTCAAACTTTTAAAAAATTGTTTTTTAAAAAATTATGAAATAGGTTTGGATATGAATTCTTCCTACAGGCTTGGCTTTGGTTTTTCCTTCCCCAGGTCCCCTTCTTCTCCTGCACTTCCAACTCTGATCCCATTAAAGCCTTGCCATCACCCATATTCTGTCCCTCTGTTTTCAAATCAAATGTATTCCATTGTCTCCGCTCCCTTAAGGCCACTTCTTCCTCTATTCCCCCTTTCTTCCTTCTAAGTCATTAAGAAATACTAACTTAAACACATCAAAATTTTTTATTTTGTTATTTTTATTTTATATGTATCAATGCCTGCATGTATATAAGTGCATCCGTGTCATACAGTGCCCAAGGAGGACAGAGGAGGGAGTTGAATCCCCTGAAACTAGAGTTAGGGATGATTGTTAGCTGCTGCGTGGGTGCTGGGAATCTAATCCGGGTTCTCTGCAAGAGCAGTCAGTGCTCTTAACTGCTGAGCCATCTCTCCAGCCCCAGGAATCTAAAATTTAAACTATGATCCACATATGAGGGAAAACATGCAGCATTTGACTTTTGTGCTTTATGGGCCTAGGTTATTTTACTTGATATATTTTCTAGTTCCATACATTTTCCTGAAATTTTCATAATTTCACTTTCTTTACAGCTAAATAAAATTCCTCTGTACACATATACCATATTTTCATTATCCATTCATCAGGCTGACATCTAGGTTGATTCCATTTCTTAGGTATTATGAATAGAATGGCAATGAACATGGACGTGCAAGTATCTCTGTAATAGGATAAAAAGTCCTTGGAATATATGCCCAGGAGTGGTGTATCTGGATCATATGAGAGTTCTATTTATAGACTTTTGAGAAACCTCTAGACTGATTGAGGTAGTGACTGCATTAACAACGCCACCAAGAGTTTGTAAGTGTTCCACTTTCCCCATGTCCATGCCAGCATTTGTTGTTGTTTGTACTCTTGATGATGGTCATTCTGACTAGGTGAGGTAGAATCTCAAAGTAGTTTTAATTTGCAGAGGCGGGTGGACCTCTGAGTTCAAGCCTGCTCTACATAGGGAGTTCCAGGTCAGCTGAGGCTACAGGGAAACCCTGTCTCAAAAAGGAAAAAAAAAAAGTATTTAAATTGGTTTTTGGTTATTTTTTTTTAATTTTACAAGAGTCCACAGTTAAGAAATTTGGGGTATTTTTAAAAGAACTTGGAGTTTTGGGGCTGGAGAGATGGCTCAGCGGTTAAGAGCACTGACTGTTCTTGCAGAGGACCTGAGTTCGATTCCCAGAACCCACATGGCAGCTACAAACCGTCCTTAACTCCAGTTCCAGGGGAATCCGAAGCCCTCTTCTGACCTCCATGTCATTGCACGACACGGGTGCACTTACTTACATGCAGGCAATACACTCATACACATAAAATAAAAATAAATAAAATATTCTTTAAAAAGAAGCCCAGGTATGGTGGCACACGCCTTTAATCCCAGCACTTGGGAGGCAGAAGCA